TTGTTGTTCTTGTTAACGATTCTCTAAAACATTTGAGAAAGCTTCAAACTCATACAGCAACGAATCATCTAAGATTTGTCTTGATACAATGTAACGGATGCAATAGGGTTGTTCTGCATAATCTAAATGAAAAAAAATGACAAGGGACAAACATTCTGTAAACTTTCTAAACAATCATTATTAAAAGATGATTCCCCTTCGATGACCCTGGGTGGATGTAGTTCACATATAAACTTCCCCCCCGACGAACCTGGGTGGATATAGTTGACATTTAAAATTCCCCAACGACGACCCTGGGTCAATGTAGCGGACATGTAAACTTCTCTTTCGATGACCCTGGGTGGATGTAGTTGACATGCAAACTTCCCCGACGAACCTGGGTGAATGTAGTTGACATGAAAACTTCTCCTCCGACGACCCTGGGTGAATTTATTTGACATGTAAACTTCCCCTTCCACGACCCTGGAGGGATGTAGTTGACATGTAAACTTCCCTTCGACGACCCTGGGTGAATGTAGTTGACATGTAAACTTCTCCTCCGACGACCTTGGGCGAATGTAGTTGACATGTAAACTTCCCACCGACGACCTTGGGTGAATGTATTTGACATGTAAACTTCCCCGACGACCTTGGGTGAATGTAGTTGACATGTAAACTTTCCCCGACGACCCTGGGTGAATGTAGTTGACATGTAAACTTCCCACCGACGACCTTGGGTGAATGTATTTGACATGTAAACTTCCCCGACGACCTTGGGTGAATGTAGTTGACATGTAAACTTTCCCCGACGACCCTGGGTGAATGTAGTTGACATGTAAACTCCCCGACGACCCTAGGTGAATGTAGTTGACATGTAAACTTTCCCCCGACGACCCTATGTGAATGTAGTTGACGTGTAAACTCCCCGACGACCCTGGGTGAATGTAGTTGACATGTAAACTTCCCCGACGACCCTAGGTGAATGTAGTTGACGTGTAAACTCCCCGACGACCCTAGGTGAATGTAGTTCACATGTAAACTTCCCCGACGACCCTAGGTGAATGTAGTTGACGTGTAAACTCCCCCCGACGACGCTAGGTGAATGTAGTTGACATGTAAACTTCCTCCCGACGACCCTGGGTGAATGTAGTTGACATGTAAACTTCTCCTCCGACGACCTTGGGTGAATGTAGTTGACATGTAAACTTCCCCTTCGACGACGCTGGGAGAATGTAGTTGACATGTAAACTTCTCCTCCGACGATCTTGGGTGAATGTTGTTGACATATAAACTTCCCTTCGACGACCCTGAGTGAATGTAGTTGACATATAAACTTCCCTTCGACGACCCCGGGTGAATGTAGTTGACATGTAAACTTCCCTACCGACGACCCTGGGTGAATGTAGTTGACATGTAAACTTCCCCCCGACGACCTTGGGTGAATGTAGTTGACATGTAAACTTCCCACCGACGACCTTGGGTGAATGTATTTGACATGTAAACTTCCCCCCGACGACCTTGGGTGAAAGTAGTTGACATGTAAACTTCCCCGACGACCTTGGGTGAATGTAGTTGACATGTAAACTTCCCACCGACGACCTTGGGTGAATGTATTTGACATGTAAACTTCCCCGACGACCTTGGGTGAATGTAGTTGACATGTAAACTTCCCACCGACGACCTTGGGTGAATGTATTTGACATGTAAACTTCCCCGACGACCTTGGGTGAATGTAGTTGACATGTAAACTTCCCACCGACGACCTTGGGTGAATGTAGTTGACATGTAAACTTCCCACCGACGACCTTGGGTGAATGTAGTTGACATGTAAACTTCCCTACCGACAACCCTGGGTGAATGTAGTTGACATGTAAACTTCTCCTCCGACGACACTGAGGAGAATCAATGAGCTGACAAATCAATGAGCTTGTTCAAATGTGTCACATTCACAGACTTAAAGGATCATCTACGTACGTACGTACCTGCGCAGTAATGGCTTAATCAACATTTCCTGCGTTGTCTATAAAAAGAACAAAATTATATCATAGAAAGAGTAACTGATACCAGAAGAGGTCCATCTACAGGTGTCCCAAAAAACGGAACACACATCAATTAATTATGTATTCGCTGAAATTGCCATGCAAAATAATGTATTTAGCTGTTTTCACGAAGACGACGGAAAGGCCAGCGAGGGCCTTTATATTACTGAGTATTGAAGGTATTGGTTGAGTTACAATGTGAAGATTACTTTTCAATTTTTTTTAGCCTTCAATCATAAAATTCTATGATAAAAGTCTACAAGGTATACACTTCTGAAAATCTGCCAGGAACCACAAGTTGCATAGAATAATGAGATTATTGTCCCAATGAAACTCTTTCTACAAATATGTGATGATATAAATGTTAAGTATATACATAATATGCTATCTGTTTGCATTCTATATTTTAGTCACCTATTGGTTAATTATTTTGAAGGTAGTGACAGAGGTGCCCCAAGTTTATAGAGATATCAATGGTGTAACAGAATTTCTCAAAAACAGCAAGATTTGCAAATGTTATTATATATCAGATTTTTCAGTCAGGTTGTTTGACTAAACACTGTACTCACTTAGAAATTCTTTGAATTTCATTTGGCGTACATTTAGAAAAAGGTAAAAACAACATTTCAAGACCTGGAATGATATATTGATGTAGTGGAAAAGCTGGAAAAAAACTTGCAAACCTGGATATGCCAATGATCTTGAAGGATGGGATCTAGTTTAGACACCACTGGTTGTGCTTAGGTAATGAAAGACTTGTCCTAAAATACCAAACATTGTATTATTTCATCACAAACAAAACAGCATACAGTACTCGTAACAGACTAAAAACTGTATTCTTTTTCACATGCAGCTCTAAAAGTGACAAGTAAAGAGTTGGTTTAATTTACATTGGACCTACTTATCTCTTGATGTATGACACAGACGTTTATATGGTGGTGAGCCATATAAGTCATTTACATTGGACCTACTTATCTCTTGATGTATGACACAGACGTTTATATGGTGGTGAGCCATATAAGTCATTTACAAGAAAAGATAATCCAATATAATTTCAATACCTTAACAACTTTAATGCTTGGACTCTTATAAGCATTTGCAGTCTGTGCTTTGGTTTTGAATGCATTTTAATATTCTTTCAAGCCTGCTCTTTACTGTAGAAATACAAATACATATGCCTAAAATCACAATCATCTTCAGCGGATGATTGGTTACTTCATCCATAACAACACTTAATGTATCGACTTAATTCTTGTGCATTATTTGTAGACAAAACCATGTAAATTTTTTTATGTCAAAGCAGACGTAATCTTGATGATATACACCTCAGTTTAGGGTGAACTCCAAAATTTCTTCGGGGGTACAAAATACGGTTTTGAAAATAATAACAACATGGGAGGTTTGAATTAAATCAACAGCTGATTTCAAATTTTATTATTTTTATCCTTAATAATTACATCAACAATCAATGATAATACACAATTTTGTTCACAAATTTACCTTTCAGTAGAAAATCTTCTATATAATCGTTCAATTTATTTTCTTGCTCATCAATCGACATGGATGTATTTTATACCGTAATACGGCAAAATGTGCAGTTTAATTCCTTTGATTCTGACTGCCAACCTTCTTTGGGACTTCGCTTTCTTTTCGGTGCCGTTCACCTTTACTGCAACTTTATATATCTGTATAGCTTTAACATAGGCAGAAAATTTTGCTCCGATATTCAAAATTTGAAGTGAAGTAACAAATATTTCAAAAACATTGCTCGCTTAAATTCTTAAATTTCGCGCGGTCATAATCAAGTCGTTTTCATAATGGTTTCCATCCATCAAAACAACATTTGTAACACGGTCTTCAGTGAGAAAGACTAGGACCTGATAAATATTGAAAGTGACACAAAAACAAAATTTACTACATGCGAGACTATGACTAATGCGAGATAATGTATTAAGTTCTATCTCTACTTCATCTGCATTAAAGACTCGATTGTTTATGTTTGGTTTTTAAAATGTTTGATAGAATTTTGTATGTACACTTTCTTTAATCTTGATTTTGATTTTGAGTTTGACAAAGTAGTCAAACATTTAGGGGAATGGGTTCTAAATAGTTGTGCGCAACGAATGCAATAAAAAATTCCATCCTTTTGGAGACGTGATTTGACGTACATTTTCATAAGGTAGCCGTCAGGTAATTGCATTGAACTAAAATACATGAAACGCTATCTGAAGCAAATAATTGAAGCCAAATCTTACACCCAGACAAGCGTGGTAAGTATTTCGAGATTCTCTCGCGGAGTGAAAATTGACTGACTACAAACGCATGTCTGCATGTAATCTCGCACGTCTGGGTGTAAAATTTGGCTTCAAAATATTATTAGGCTTATCTATTACAAATAGAGTTCAATGCATTTTAGTTCAATGGGTAATTGGAAGGAGTTCGTATTTTGGCACGTGATATACAAATTTGAAAACAAAATTTTCTTTCTTTTATTGCTCTCCGTACTCTCAGTGCATGATATGTGTTCTTGTTCACGTGCTTACATCATGTTTAGGTAAAGCTTCTCATTGGCTGAAACGCGTCACATGCTCACTGGATATCATTCTCTGATTATGCTCTCACTTTATAGCAAGAGTGTATGAAGTATATTACGTTGATCATGATGTTTGTTATTCATGGCTCAGGATTTTTTTTATAACAAAGAAAATGTTTTTAGTACTTTTCATATGGTTGATGAAGCTGTCAACTGCATCAATTTTTACTACGTTTGTAGCTACTTTGTAGAGGTAAATCTTTTGTCGAGATTGTTTACAGAAGTTGGTCCGCCCGTATTGGCCATTTACACCTAAGCCTTTAAACAAAATTTTGAAGAATTATGGTATTCAAATTTCAAAGAGAGAACGGTTGGTATAGCAAATGACAAGATTACTTTATTTTGTTGGTTATGTCGGTGTAATTTTGCTCATTTACTATGTAGCTCAAGTAAGAAAGACGTCCTTGCCCCAAGTTGGTATAAATGTGAGTGCTCAGAAACAATCTTTCGTCAAACTGAATTGAGTAGTGGTTGCTTGGGAGAGAGAAAGTGTAAAGACAGTATGTCTCCCAGGTCCGTTTCAACACTTCATTCCAACTTTCGAAATTTTCAATTGGCTTAACTTCGACTTTGCCATTGTCTGTTTTTTCAGCTTTCCATCCAATGAAGAAAGTCCATCGACATTCACTTATTACAAGAGCTAGCGTGTTGCCTGTTGTATCATAAATATGTGTAGAACAAATTAATTTCATGTTCCTGTGCGTTTTCTGTTATAGCAGGAAGTAATAGTACAGGTAGCTTTTTGTAAAGTCAATTGTTTTTCATAAAAATTTGTCCGAAATCTTAGTCCCATTTACAGAAATCGCATGCAATGTAAGAGAAGACATCAATTTTGCATCAAACGACAATGATTATCGACAATGAAAGTGAAACAAAAATGAGACACAAAGACTATAGCAACTATGAAATAAATATATCACTTATGCAAATCGACAAGTTTTCTAAAAGTGACTACCGCAAAGAATGTCGAAACGTCAGTCAATACGAGCACCAACAGTCAACGACTGGATATACATCTACAAAGATGTAACATTTAAGTCAATTGCAGTTCACAATGGCCAAAGCAGTTGAATAACTGCAATCAAAAGCTAAGTTATCCCTAAAATCTGATAGTTCCGTAGCTTATGATTTTAAAATTTCCAATTTTCGTTAGCACGGCCATTATCATTATACGCAGCGAAATTTAGATACTTTATGCATGGGCAAAATGCAAAATTAGCCATTGATGTGCTTTGCTTGGACGGCCAACGACGAGTATCCTTGTCGAATACATGTCATAAGCATAAATTTCTAGCCATTTCCTGGGTAAAATAGTATAATATCACAAATTGTAAGTGCAGTTTCAGACTGAAAATTTTACTGCCCTTTGAGTTTCCGTTTAGACATATTGAATCATGAATTGTCAAGAAGATAACGAGGATATCTCATGTTTAAGAAATTTGCTTTGTTTGTATTCTTTGTGTGAACGTGACGTCATCAATAATATAGTCGCCATATTTAGGGTTGGTAATCTGGCTCTTCTGCAGCCAATAACTAGATTTTGTCTTTTTTGGCCTTTCAGCTGCATTTGGCCTTTATCAATTCTATGGACTGTAATTTTTCAGTCATTTGAACCATTACAGTGACGAGACTGTCACAGTTATTTTTGCTACACCGTGAAATTTAGTATTCCTTGGAAAAAACGCTTACAACGCACAATTAGGAGAAGATCCATATTTTTTACGAGCAACATGTCCCTCAGTTTACCAAGTTGATATTTTAATAATAGCTGAGAATCTTTTCAATTATATCAAAATTTAAATTCCATGTAAAGTTAGTATGACGATGCATATGTGAGAAATGTTTAGTACTTACGCTCCCATGATTAGCTACAGTGTCTAAATTCCCGTGTGTATGAGAGTCTTTATACTCGGTTTCCTGTCATACAACGCTTACTTTTTATCAAACACTATTTGAATTTATGTACCTTGAATAAATATTTATTTTTCTTAATGCAAAGTCGCCATGCTAAAGCATATTCTATGTATCTAATAATCCATGAGTGGATTCAGAAAAACCGCAAGGAAACAAATTTGATAACATGCAAGTCGCGCCAAAATAACGCCCGAGAAGAAACAAAGAAGCTTTGAGCCATGAGAGATAGCTAATAAAAGCCATCTGTCAAGGACGTTGAACTGTATGAATAACTGTTCAATAATCAAGAACTATTTTATATTCTTGCCATTTTTCCGCATTTGTTTTCTTTCGTAACGTAAACTTATCTACTTATCTTTAAGTCTTGTTGTTCTTGTTAACGATTCTCTAAAACATTTGAGAAAGCTTCAAACTCATACAGCAACGAATCATCTAAGATTTGTCTTGATACAATGTAACGGATGCAATAGGGTTGTTCTGCATAATCTAAATGAAAAAATGACAAGGGACAAACATTCTGTAAACTTTCTAAACAATCATTATTAAAAGATGATTCCCCTTCGATGACCCTGGGTGGATGTAGTTCACATATAAACTTCCCCCCCGACGAACCTGGGTGGATATAGTTGACATTTAAAATTCCCCAACGACGACCCTGGGTCAATGTAGCGGACATGTAAACTCTCTTTCGATGACCCTGGGTGGATGTAGTTGACATGCAAACTTCCCCGACGAACCTGGGTGAATGTAGTTGACATGAAAACTTCTCCTCCGACGACCCTGGGTGAATTTATTTGACATGTAAACTTCCCTTCCACGACCCTGGAGGGATGTAGTTGACATGTAAACTTCCCCTTCGACGACCCTGGGTGAATGTAGTTGACATGTAAACTTCTCCTCCGACGACCTTGGGCGAATGTAGTTGACATGTAAACTTCCCACCGACGACCTTGGGTGAATGTATTTGACATGTAAACTTCCCCGACGACCTTGGGTGAATGTAGTTGACATGTAAACTTTCCCCGACGACCCTGGGTGAATGTAGTTGACATGTAAACTTCCCACCGACGACCTTGGGTGAATGTATTTGACATGTAAACTTCCCCGACGACCTTGGGTGAATGTAGTTGACATGTAAACTTTCCCCGACGACCCTGGGTGAATGTAGTTGACATGTAAACTCCCCGACGACCCTAGGTGAATGTAGTTGACATGTAAACTTTCCCCCGACGACCCTATGTGAATGTAGTTGACGTGTAAACTCCCCGACGACCCTGGGTGAATGTAGTTGACATGTAAACTTCCCCGACGACCCTAGGTGAATGTAGTTGACGTGTAAACTCCCCGACGACCCTAGGTGAATGTAGTTCACATGTAAACTTCCCCGACGACCCTAGGTGAATGTAGTTGACGTGTAAACTCCCCGACGACGCTAGGTGAATGTAGTTGACATGTAAACTTCCTCCCGACGACCCTGGGTGAATGTAGTTGACATGTAAACTTCTCCTCCGACGACCTTGGGTGAATGTAGTTGACATGTAAACTTCCCTTCGACGACGCTGGGAGAATGTAGTTGACATGTAAACTTCTCCTCCGACGATCTTGGGTGAATGTTGTTGACATATAAACTTCCCTTCGACGACCCTGAGTGAATGTAGTTGACATATAAACTTCCCTTCGACGACCCCGGGTGAATGTAGTTGACATGTAAACTTCCTACCGACGACCCTGGGTGAATGTAGTTGACATGTAAACTTCCCCGACGACCTTGGGTGAATGTAGTTGACATGTAAACTTCCCACCGACGACCTTGGGTGAATGTATTTGACATGTAAACTTCCCCGACGACCTTGGGTGAAAGTAGTTGACATGTAAACTTCCCCGACGACCTTGGGTGAATGTAGTTGACATGTAAACTTCCCACCGACGACCTTGGGTGAATGTATTTGACATGTAAACTTCCCCGACGACCTTGGGTGAATGTAGTTGACATGTAAACTTCCCACCGACGACCTTGGGTGAATGTATTTGACATGTAAACTTCCCCGACGACCTTGGGTGAATGTAGTTGACATGTAAACTTCCCACCGACGACCTTGGGTGAATGTAGTTGACATGTAAACTTCCCACCGACGACCTTGGGTGAATGTAGTTGACATGTAAACTTCCCTACCGACAACCCTGGGTGAATGTAGTTGACATGTAAACTTCTCCTCCGACGACACTGAGGAGAATCAATGAGCTGACAAATCAATGAGCTTGTTCAAATGTGTCACATTCACAGACTTAAAGGATCATCTACGTACGTACGTACCTGCGCAGTAATGGCTTAATCAACATTTCCTGCGTTGTCTATAAAAAGAACAAAATTATATCATAGAAAGAGTAACTGATACCAGAAGAGGTCCATCTACAGGTGTCCCAAAAAACGGAACACACATCAATTAATTATGTATTCGCTGAAATTGCCATGCAAAATAATGTATTTAGCTGTTTTCACGAAGACGACGGAAAGGCCAGCGAGGGCCTTTATATTACTGAGTATTGAAGGTATTGGTTGAGTTACAATGTGAAGATTACTTTTCAATTTTTTTTAGCCTTCAATCATAAAATTCTATGATAAAAGTCTACAAGGTATACACTTCTGAAAATCTGCCAGGAACCACAAGTTGCATAGAATAATGAGATTATTGTCCCAATGAAACTCTTTCTACAAATATGTGATGATATAAATGTTAAGTATATACATAATATGCTATCTGTTTGCATTCTATATTTTAGTCACCTATTGGTTAATTATTTTGAAGGTAGTGACAGAGGTGCCCCAAGTTTATAGAGATATCAATGGTGTAACAGAATTTCTCAAAAACAGCAAGATTTGCAAATGTTATTATATATCAGATTTTCAGTCAGGTTGTTTGACTAAACACTGTACTCACTTAGAAATTCTTTGAATTTCATTTATACATTTAGAAAAAGGTAAAACAACATTTCAAGACCTGGAATGATATATTGATGTAGTGGAAAAGCTGGAAAAAAACTTGCAAACCTGGATATGCCAATGATCTTGAAGGATGGGATCTAGTTTAGACACCACTGGTTGTGCTTAGGTAATGAAAGACTTGTCCTAAAATACCAAACATTGTATTATTTCATCACAAACAAAACAGCATACAGTACTCGTAACAGACTAAAAACTGTATTCTTTTTCACATGCAGCTCTAAAAGTGACAAGTAAAGAGTTGGTTTAATTTACATTGGACCTACTTATCTCTTGATGTATGACACAGACGTTTATATGGTGGTGAGCCATATAAGTCATTTACATTGGACCTACTTATCTCTTGATGTATGACACAGACGTTTATATGGTGGTGAGCCATATAAGTCATTTACAAGAAAAGATAATCCAATATAATTTCAATACCTTAACAACTTTAATGCTTGGACTCTTATAAGCATTTGCAGTCTGTGCTTTGGTTTTTTGAATGCATTTTAATATTCTTTCAAGCCTGCTCTTTACTGTAGAAATACAAATACATATGCCTAAAATCACAATCATCTTCAGCGGATGATTGGTTACTTCATCCATAACAACACTTAATGTATCGACTTAATTCTTGTGCATTATTTGTAGACAAAACCATGTAAATTTTTTTATGTCAAAGCAGACGTAATCTTGATGATATACACCTCAGTTTAGGGTGAACTCCAAAATTTCTTCGTGGGTACAAAATACGGTTTTGAAAATAATAACAACATGGGAGGTTTGAATTTAATCAACAGCTGATTTCAAATTTTATTATTATTTTTATCCTTAATAATTCCATGAACAGTCGATGATAATACACAATTTTGTTCACAAATTTACCTTGGAGTAGAAAATCTTCTATATAATCGTTCAATTTATTTTCTTGCTCATCAATCGACATGGATGTATTTAATACCGCAATAGGGCAAAATGTGCAGTTTACTTCCTTTGACTCTGCCTGCCAACCTTCTTTGGGACTTCTCGCTTTCTTTTCGGTGCCATTCACCTTCACTACAACTCTATATATCTGTATATCTTTAACATAGGCAGAAAATTTCGCTCGGATATTCAAAATTTGAAGTGAAGTAACAAATATTTCAAAAACATTGCTCGTTTAAATTCTCAAATTTCACGCGGTCATAATCAAGTCGTTTTCATAATGGTTTCCATCCATCAAAACTACATTTATCACACGGTCTACTGGGAGAAAGACTAGGACCTGATAAATATTGAAAGTGAAACAAAAACAAAATTTTCTACATAAACGGTGTTTTTTACATTTTAAGGATAATTATTCATTTTTCTTAATGTTCAGTTGCTATTTTAAATCATATTTTATGTAATAGTCCACTTATTTAAAAAAAACAAATGGGACTATGACTAATGCGAAATAATATATTAAGTTCTATCTCTACTTCATTCAGCATTCATTTTTTGTACACTTTCTTTAAACTTAATTTTGTTTTTGATTTTGTCAAAGTAGTAAAACAACTAAAGGAATGGGTTCGAAATAGTTGTGCGCAACGTTCAAAATGAGAGAAAATACATAGTGTTTGATAGTTGCCTGAGACAGTGAGTCAATGCCCATGTTGTGGTGAAAGTTGTTCCATTGCGATCAAAACGACTGGTAGTATGGTTAACGTACTTGCAAAATGTCATTGTGGTTATGTTAGAGACTGGAATAGCCAACCTCTGCATGGACGAATGCCTTTGGGTAACTTGGTCTTTGCTGCCAGAATCTTGTTTAGTGGTAGTAGCCCCAGCAAAGTTCTTCAATTCCTTCGTCACTCAGGCATACAATTTCTGTCGGAGCGCACATATAGCTATATTAAAACAGCGTATTTAATACCCATGCAGTGTTTCAAATGTTTGGCATATGCACCAAAAGCATCTTCTAGAATCAATCAGAGAAAGGTGTTAGGAATGGCGATACATTATATGTGTATTAAACTAAGTATAAGATATCTGATCATAGTACTAGTCACATGATCTGGTAAGCACTTCTTATTGTATGCTAATTGTTATCTTCTGTTCTGCTCAATACCGCATGGTTTAGGACAACGCTCATTATGTAACTTAAATAATTAAATATATGTTGTTTTGTTTCTGCTTTAACAATAAATTAACAAAAGGAACATTAACCTTGAAAGAAATGGAAGATGTGATTTGCCTGGATATTGTGCCAAGTATGGGTCATATAGCTGCATGGATTTGGAATCTAACAACATTTTAGACACACAACTTGTTCAGGTAACAATTCTTCAACAAATGTATGTAAAACGTGGTTAGAATACTCACATAATTACATGTTAAACAGTCCAATGAAGTGACCAACTCTGGAGCAACGGAACTTGAGGAATTAAAAAGATGTCTGGCAAAGTTTGATGAAAGTGGGATGAAGGTGAAGTCAATGACCACAGACAGACATGCTCAAATCAAATCCTACATGTCAAAA